TATAAAGCTACTCCTCCCCCCTGTGACAACAACATCAACTTTCTCAACGACCTCAGCAACTACTTAGCAAGGTTTGAGGCACTCAACACCTCTCCAGCGATGAAATCTATTCCTCGCTCCGATGAGCAGCCAATCAGCCTGGACACAGCTGATGTCCAGAGAACCCTGAGGAGAGTGAACACCCGGAAAGCAGCAGGCCCTGACGACATACCGGGACGGGTGCTTAAGGAATGTGCTGACCAGCTGGCTGGGGTTCTCACAGACATCTTCAACACCTCGCTGATCCAGGCTATAGTACCATCATGTTTAAAGACTGCTACAATTATACCAGTGCCTAAAAAATCCACAATCTCCTCACTCAATGACTACCGCCCTGTAGCACTAACCCCCATTATGATGAAGTGCTTTGAGAGGCTGGTAAAGGACCACATTGTCTCCAGACTTCCCCCCACATTCGACCTGTACCAGTTTGCTTACCGCCCTAACCACTCCACAGAGGATGCCATCTCCTCTGCACTCCACCTGGGCTTACAACATCTGGAAGAGAAGGACACACATGTGCGGATGTTGTTTCTGGACTTCAGCTCGGCGTTCGATACGATCATCCCGCAGCATCTGGTGAGCAAACTGGCCCCCCTTGGTTTCAGCACCCCCCTGTGTAACTGGCTGCTTGACTTCCTCACAAACAGACCCCAGTCTGTGCGGGTGGGCAATAACACCTCCACGGTCATCTCTCTGAGCACCGGCTCCCCTCAGGGCTGCGTCCTGAGTCCGCTGCTGTTCACCCTGATGACCCATGACTGCTGCACCAGGACCACTACTAACCACATCGTGAAGTTCGCAGACAACACAACAGTAGTGGGCCTCATCCGTGATAACAACGACATGGACTACAGAGAGGAGGTGAAACATCTGGTTGACTGGTGCAGAACCAACAACCTAGCCCTGAATGTTGATAAAACCAAAGAGATCATCGTCGACTTCAGGAGGCGCCAGCCCAGCCACACACCACTCCTCATCAACGGCACAGCAGTGGAGAGAGTTAGCAGCACAAAGTTCCTGGGGGTGCAGATAACAGACACTCTGACCTGGTCCCTTCACACCGGAGCTCTTGTGAAAAAAGCGCAGCAGCGCATGCACTTTCTGCGTCGGATGAAGAGACACACACCTCCCCCCTCCTATTCTCACCACCTTTTACAGAGGCACTATAGAGAGCATCATAACAAACTGCATCTCTGTCTGGTCCGGAGCCTGCAGTGCCTCTGACTGGAAGTCCCTGCAGAGAGTGGTGAGAACTACAAGATATTCTCCAAAGCTCTGGCCAACAGACTGAAGGACATAATGGACCAGATCATACACAGGACCAAAGCTACTGTGTGCCTGGCAGGTCTATTCATGACAATGTGTCTTTAATTTGTGATGTTTTGGACATCTCTAGTTCATTCGACATAGACCTTGGTCTCATTTCGTTAGATCAAGAAAAAGCTTTTGACCGGGTTGAGCACCTCTACCTCTGGAAAGTTCTGGAGCATTTTGGTCTCAGCCCTGGTTTTATTGCTATGATCAAGGTTTTGTACCAGGACACTGAGAGTGTACTGAAAATCAATGGAGGACTAAGTGCACCTTTTAAAATTAAGAGAGGAATAAGACATGGTTGTGCTCTTTCAGGGATGTTGTATTCCATCTCTATAGAACCCATGTTGTGTAAAATACGGTCTTCCATTGAAGGGTTCATTTTACCTCACTGTTCAAAACATTTTATTGTGTCAGCCTATGCAAATGATGTTATTGTCATGATAAAAAATCATCAAATTTAATAGAAATCATTGTGAAGGATTTTGGTATGGTATCATCTGCAAAAGTGAACTGGGGGAAGAGTGAAAGGTTAGCAGTTGGTTTTAAATCACATTTGCTGCCCAACCTACCAGCAGGACTAACATGGGGAATAAATGGTTTTAAGTATCTTGGTGTGTTTTTAGGGGATGAGCTCACTGTACAGAAAAACTGGGGGGAGATGGTGGAGAAAGTGAAGGGGAGGCTGGAGAAGTTGAGGTGGCTGCTGCCACAAATGTCGTACAGAGGAAGAGTGCTCATCATAAACAACTTGGTCTCCTGTGGACTCTGGCACAAGATGGCATCTATAGAGCCCCCTGCTGGACTCCTTAAACAACTGCAATCAGTGATGTTGGACTTTTTCTGGGACAAGCTGCATTGGGTTCCACAGGCTGTGCTGGTTTTACCTAAAGAAGAAGGAGGGCAGGGTCTGGTCCACCTGGCCAGCAGAGTAGCTGCCTTCAGAATCCAGTTTCTACAGAAATTCTTCACTGGCCCAGCTGATGTGGTCTGGAGACCAGTGGCCAGCAGCATTTTTAAAAAAGTGAACGGACTAGGACTAGACTCCTCACTGTTTTAATGAATACTGACTGTTTTAATCTATGAAACCTGTCTGCTTTTTATCAGAACCTTTTTAAAACCTGGAAAATGTTTTTATGGAAAAGACTAGAGCCCACACTGTCCCTACACTGGCTGCTGGAGGAGCCTCTGATCTATGGGGCCCGGCTGGATGTTCAGGACACATCTTTAATGGGCCTCACGCATGCTCTCATCTGCACTGACAACACCACACTGAGACAGATCGTGGGCGTAGCTGGACCTGAACTGAACAATACAGCAGCAGTTACCTCTGCTCTTGGTCTCTGGTCTGCACGTTTTGTGGACAGAGTGCTCAGACTGTTGTGTCTCAGACTGACGGGGGAAGAGAAGGAGATGCTGCAGGATTACTGGAGCAGGAAGGAGGTGCCCATTGACAGTGACCCGTTTCCTGAAATAGGCCTCACAATGAATTACTGTGTTTCAAGTGAAAGACATTCAAAAGGGACTGATGATATATGTTTGGACTTTTATCACGTTAGAGCCAGAGTCTGGGTGGATTTTAATTTCTTTAAAGCGATGATCAATTCGGGAAAAGTGAGGATTTTCATTTTGGCGAAAACAAAAAAGCTGACGTACGGTGATGAAAAGTCGAAGGCCTTTTTCCTGACTATTGAGGGCAGAAAGAAGCACAATCTGCTTATGGACTTGTGTGCGCCATTGAAGCTATCAGAGAAAAAACTAATTAATTCATTAATTAGTTAATCGATCTGTTGCATGCACATTTTGTGCCGAAGACAAACTTCATTGCAGAAAGATACAAGTTTCACTCCAGAAACCAGAGAGAATAAGAGTCAATACTCTTCCCGACCCGAAGGAAAGAAAGGTAGGCAGAACAAATGGACCAAGCACCTGGACGCTACAGCTCAATGGAGTAACCGTGACCAGAGAAAAGTGTGCACAACGCCGATGTAGGAGCACAGCTCTACCAATGGTCCGCAGAAGAAGGTTGACTCACTGCTGACTGTTTTGTTAATAGAGACTAAAGGTGAGGACTCCTGTTCTGAAAGTGATGTACAGATTGCAAAACCTTACTATGTATATGTGAGGGTAAATGAGAAATGCCTAAAATGCAAGTAGACACAGGAGCTGCAGTGTCTGTAATCTCTGAAAAACTGTACAAATGTAGGTTTAAGAAGCTAAAACTAATGCCCACAAACTGTGTGTTGAAAACAAAAAAAGATACCCAGGGGTGTTTCAGCCAAGCCTAGGAAAGGTGACAGGGTTCAAAGCTAAACTCCATGTTGTATCAGGGGCCATTCCTAAGTTTAAGCAAACCCCACTCAGTGCCTTATGCACTTTGGGAGGCAGTAGAAGCTCAGCTAAACAAAATGGAAGCCGATGGAGTAATTACACCTGCTAACTATAGTGAGTGGGCTGCACCTACTGTAAACTTCCCAAAGTTAGATCACACACATAAAGTATCTATCAACCCATGGCTCGTGGTAGATCAGTACCCCACACCAAAATCACAGGATCTTTTCACATAACTAGCAAGAGTTGAGAGATTCACTAAGCTTGATCTGTCACAAGCTTATCAATAAGTGGCTATATAACTAAGCCACTAATACCACTCAACTGAAGTCTTTCCTGTAACAGTTGAGTTACTATGGGAAGTTCATTCCTAACCTCTCAGCCATGATAGCTCCTATGACTGGGTTATTGCAGAAAGATGCTAAGTGGGAGTGGTCAGAGTCATGCCAGAAAGCATTCGGGGACGCTTAAAAGCAGCTTCTCTCTAACAGAGTTCTTGTAGATTACAACCCAGATCTACCGCTCATATTAGCTTGCGATGCTTCACCAGTGGGGGTAGGGGCCGTTATATCACACAAAATGCCTGGCGGTGATGAGAAACCCATAGCTTTTGCTTCTAGGATGCTAACAAAAGCAGAAAATAACTATTCTCAGGTAGAAAAAGAAAAAGAAGCATTAGGTTTGGTTTTTGAAGTTTCATGAGTATTTGTTTGGTCTTGAGTTTACTTTGATAACAGACCACAAACCGTTACTGAAGATCTTAGGGTACCTCCCTTAGCTGCTGCTAGGATGCAAAGATGGTCTCTGATTTTAGCAGCGTATATCTATGAAATCAAGTACAAGCCGTCGGAGCACCATGGAAATGCTTATGCATTATCTCGACACCCTGTGCCCAATGACAGTTTTTTCCAAAACCGAATCCAGTGTTCAGGGTGTCACATTTAGATAGTCTGCCTGTCAGCAAAAGATATAGCACTGGAAACGCAGACGGATACAAAACAATAACAATGAGTGTTTTTACCTGCTCAAACTGTTCATGACGTTTATTCTATAAATGTATATTCAGAGACATTTAAGGGGTTGTGGTTAAAATGGGCGGGTAGATCGGTTCATGGAGACTTCAAGTTCCATCTCTACTGGACTAATAAGGAGTTTGTGTTGGGAGTGGGTCTATTTTTGACCTCCCTGATAAAAAATAAATAAAATAAAATTCAGAAATATGAAAAAGTCTTAGTTCTTCTTGAAGCATGTAAGACACAGAATATTTTCTGATCTATATTTGAAATATAACTTGTGATATGAATCGTATTTTTTACCCTCTGTCTTTCCGTCTTTAATGTCGGGGTCATCGATGAGTTTCTCCTTCAGATTGTTCAGAAGCTTCTTGAACTCCAGCTGAATGTTGTCGATTTCAGTGTTGAGGAGAGGAGACGGGTTGATCAGGATCATGTTTGGATCAACAGCATCTTTCAGCTTCCTGTGAAGAAGAAGAAATAGTTTTCATATCTTTTTGATCATTCATTCATTTCACAGGGGTCAAACTTTTACTGTTAGCTCTTATCCAAAATAGTAATACAAGATGTCAGTCTGCTCCACTGCCCGCCAGCTCTCTTATCGTATTTTTCACCCTGTTTCTGTTCTCCTCTTCCTGCAAGCCACGCCTTTATATAAACACTTTTTTTGAGAGACTTCTCACACATAGGCCTGAATTACACACATGGATTAATAAAGAGATCAGGGAGTAGACTGGCAGGTCTCCAGCTACCAGACCATCCAAACTGGGACTTAAACCGGCCACCCTTAGGGCACGGTCACACTGGCCATCCGTATCATGCCCAAGCACGATTCAACGCTAAAAAACGCCTATATGCCTTTTATTTCACTTCCTCGTGGTAATTAGGATTATTTCACCGGCAAGAAGGCATAGGGGAAAGTTTTTTAGATTATCTTTTTGTAGTCCATTTTCGGAACATTGTAGTTTCACCACGGCAGACCCACTTCATTAACCTCTGCCGGCCTGTCACTTTAATCACGTGGCCTAGTGGAAATGTGGACAGATTGTCAGAGCAACACCATCGCCTTTCCCTAAGTCCTTTATGAATTCTCCTAACATCTTTCCTTAACCTCATGACGTTTTCCCCGGGGTTAAGGTAAAGAGGATAGTGAAAGGGGATAGGAGGGACAATCCGGATGCACCCAGAAAGCTGAATTGTCGTACATGTTTACCGTCCTCAGTCTGACGCAGAGGGCTGAATGGTCGGCCATGTTTACTGTGGTTAGTCTGAAGAACAGGATGTGAGCTGTTACTGTGACCCACAGTATCAGTAGGTTCGGAGGGGCAGTGCGCTTCCTGAAGCTGTTGTGTTACAGCTTGGATTTTAAAAAAGGGAACAGACTACGGTCTGACTGACTGAACTACTAAGAGGATCGTTTTTCAGGAACAATTGGAACCCTGGAGCCAATCAGAGTCCAGTATTTACACAGACTGTGGTATAAAAATACATAGGTACTTTGAATATTTTTGCTGTTTTTAATATGAGGCAATACAATTCAGAAAAATGCAAATCATACCTGATCATGGTGCACATTTTCTCCATCTTCTCCACCTTTAGGGGGGAGAGTCCTGTCATGTTGGAGAGGCTGTCCAGCTTGGAGTGCATCTCCAGCATCTGTTGCCGTTGGAAAACATCACCAGGCCGCAGCTCGTTGTTAAAGGTGGGAATGAAGGTCCTCATCTCCTGCGCGGCAAGCTGCACATCAGTGACATTTTGGGCCCAGAGGGCGGTGCAGGCATGACACTGATCACAGGCTGGAAATGCGGAGTCATAGCCAGGGGCGCACTGGTCGCAGAAGATGCCAGTGACCCCGACTCGACAGATACATTCGCCAGTTTCAGGGTCACATGACGGACGCTGAGTTCCCTCCATGTTACAATCACATGCTGAGGGGACAGATGAAGAATTAGAGAGCTGCTGTGTCACAGGAAGTGTTTATGTCAAGGGTGGGATCACTCACAGATACACTGCAGGTCTGGATTCCCAAAATGATTCTCTGCACATTCATCACAGTGCCTGCCACCAAATTCAGTACGACATGGACACTGACCCGTCACCTGAACGCACCATGAATACAGTCATGGGTTATTCAGCGTACATGATTAACACCTGAACACATCACAGAATCAGTCAGTACATAAATCTCATGTCTATTATCATTGTTTTAAATATATATGAGTGAATCTTAGCGCTGCTTTACCTCAACCTTTAAATAAAATTAACATAATCAGTCCTCCCTGTTCCATCATTATTACAGACGGTAACATTAATGTTAGGCTGAACAGTCTATTATCATACGAACTGTTACTCCTAATAATACCTATTATTACTGACATTGTAAATATACATCCATCTTATTCATTGTTGTTGTTGCTGCTGTTTGTTTATGTCTTTCTGCATCTCACTCTATCCCATTTTCCAAGCCAAGCGCAGTTTCAGCAGATGGCTGTTCATCATGAGTGTGGTTCTGCTCCAGGTTTCTACTTGTTCAACATGAGTCTAGTTCTGATCCAGGTTTCTGTCTGTTCAACATGAGTCTGGTTCTGCTGAATTGGTGCTATACAAATAAAGATTGATTGATAAATGATTGACAGGGTTAAAGGTTATGAACTGTCAGTTAAGGACAATGTGTTGTATTACCTTGTTGCAGGTGTTGGACTCCGAGTTGGTTGGGTCACAGTTACAGGGTTGACATCCAGCCGGTCCGTCCAGGTTCCAGTATCCATCCTCGCAGTGGTCACAGAGGACGCCCTCAACACCTGGCCTGCAGGGACACTGACTATTCCTTCTGTCACAGAAACATGGACTCCCCAGAGGACATTGAGTCACCTGCGTACCCCGTCGATCACAAGAGCACTCTGCAGGTTTATGGGAGAAGAACAAAGAGAAACAGGCGTTAAGAGAAGAACCAGGAGCTCTGGGGAGAACAAGGAGGTCAGCTGACCCTCGTCTTTACCTTTGCAGTCCTGATCCAAGGCGTTGCCGTAGTAACCAGGTTTGCAGGTGTGGCAGTGTGGTCCCATGGTATTATGGAGGCAGCGCAGACAAACTCCCGTTAAACCATCACAGGCATCACGGTCATCCACATCAATGTTGTTGTTGCAGTCACACTCCTCACAGCTGGCCCCCGGCAATGCCAGGTTACCATAGAAACCAGGGCTACACCTGTCGCATCTTGGACCTGAGAGATTTTGGTTGGGTACAGATGTTGAATGTAAAAAATTTTCATGACAACAAATCTGATTCCACTCCGCTGCCCTCTTAAGCTCACTCCTGTGATACACCTGAAACACAACAGTCAGATAACTGTTGAGGGAAACAAACCTGAGCAGGTGTGGCCAGGTACGCAAGTAAGAGGCTGAGGCCCTACCTGTGTGTCCCTCCCTGCAGATACAAGACAGACTGAGGGTTTCTGGGTCCTGTAGGCAGGAAGTGGCGAAGAATCGTCCACTGCCGTGAATGTCTGGACACAGGCACGGTTGACAGGGCTGCCTGGAGACCGGGTTACCATAGTAACCCTCCACACACCTGCATCAGACACACAGGTGGCATCAGAACCAGAACATGATCACACATCTGCAGCATGAACACAAATATTTCAGAACAAACTCCATTCGATCTGCAGAGTCCCTCTGCACCTTTAAGAAAAAGCTAAAGACCCAGCTCTTAATGAACACCTACTAACTTAATGATGATGGTCTCGATATTATTGATGATGGTAATGATGATGGTTTTATTGATAATGACGACTTTCAAGATGGTTTCTATACTGAAACTCTCAAAAACTCTCAAGAACTGCCGTCAATATTGTCCTTTGCCTCTGTGCAATGCCTGTCAGCACCTGTGTGTCCAATCGGACTCAAAGCTGATCGTTTGCTCTTACTGACATTGTTCCTTTTTTTCTCTCTCCTTGCTTGTGTTGTACTTACTCTCTGATGCAACGTATGCTTTGGATAAAAGCATCTGCTAAGTGCATTGTACAATTGTAGAACATTTTAAAGCAATTTAGTGAAACGATATTAATACCAAAAACATTTTTAAAAATATGTTCTCTAAATCTTGAAAACCTGTTATATTAATATTATAGTTATATAAACAGGTTATATATTAATATTATAGTTATATGTTTAGTTTCATGGTTCTTATATATTTATTTACTAACGTGTCACAACGTGGTCCAGCAGTGTTCTCTCTGCAGGTCAAACACTCTCCGGTCTCTTCGTCACACTGGTCTGAGAGTCCCTGACATTCACAGACTCGACAGAGTGGGAAACCCCAGAATCCATTCTGACAGCGATCACAACGACGACCTGTGACCTCTGCCCGACACGCACACTGACCTCTGACCTGATCGCACATCTCTGACACAGAACCACGAGGGTCACAGTCACAGGCTGCAAACAAACATCAGAGAGAACAGAATGGGATTATTCATGTTGATCAGTTTCATGTTGTGGCATCATCTACATGGATTTGGGACCTTTTTCAGATTTCAGATGTGATTCTTACGCTGGCAGCCATCAGGTCCAAAACCAAACGTCAGCGGTGAACAGGTATCACAGCAACGACCAATCACGTTGGGTTTACATTCACAGAACCCTCCCAGTTTACTGCAGGTCGGTCGGAGAGACCCCATCTCGTTACACCTACACACTGACGTCAGAGAAAATAAATTAAGGATGAAGAAATCCTGGCGAACCAGAAACAATCAAACTTTTAATGTTGACATTTTGGTTCACTCATTCTAACAGATTTCCTCAGTGCTGATCCAGGTTTCTGTCTGTTCAACATGAGTCTGGTTCTGATCCAGGTTTCTGTCTGTTCAACAAGAGTCTGGTTCTGGTCCAGGTTTCTGTCTGTTCAACATGAGTCTGGTTCTGATCCAGGTTTCTTCCTGTTCAACATGAGTCTGGTTCTGATCCAGGTTTCTGTCTGTTCAACATGAGTCTGGTTCTGGTCCAGGTTTCTGCCTCTTGAAGTCAGTTGTTTCACTCCAATGTAACTATAATACAATATTTCTTAGTGTTCATGTTGGATTTCTGTTGATTCTTTGGAAATAATATTACAAAGAGTTCGGTCGGCTCTTTTGTTCCTTTTCAAATAAAGAGCATTTTATTGAAATTGATAAATACTTACGAACGGCTCCTTTGTTGATCCTGGCGGACATGCTCTTAATGATTCCCTCACAGACTTCTGGTACCACATCCTGTGGGCCAAGCTCAGCAGCCAATCCAATGCAGCGAAAACGTCTGAACGAGTCGAGGTCACTCTGGGAGCAAAAGTCCTGGACAGACTCGATGCTGGGAATCAAACCAATCTAAAGAATAAAAACAGGTGGATATTAAAATGTAGAATTGTGTAGAAGTATTTTCATTTTTTTATGCTTTCTGTTTTGTTCTCTCTGACTTCAACAACCACACTTCACTATCTGCTGTGATTTATTACTGATGCTTAGTTCTGATTGGACAGTGCTGTTGAGAGGAGGGGTCCAGTGACCTGTCAATCATCCAGAATGAGTTTTGACCTCCTCACCGAGTCGATCAGGATGTGTGAAGATTGGTCATCAAGTCCTGGCTGTTTGTTGAACAGGACGTCAACAAAATACCGCCCGCCAGCATTCAGACACACGGAGGAATCAAGAACACCACCTCTGATGATACACAAAGAATAAACAAGTAAACAAAAAAGTCCAACACCACAACAACAAACAAAAATCACCATATTAAAGAAACAGATCAAACAACCTAGACAGCTGCACAGGAGTTAGCTGATTATTATCTGGAAAAATTCATCCATAAATATCGATTCAAGTTCCACCACTGGGGGGCGACAGAGGAGAAGATACTAGTAAGAGACTTAGGACCCTGTTGTGAAGGTTGGATCAGATGCCTTTCATTGGCAGAGTGTAGTAGGTGTGAGGGAGTGCAGACCTGGATCAGAGTGTTTAGGTAGGAGTTTTAAATTTGATACAAGCAGTAACTGGGAGCCAGTGGAGGGAGATAAACAGCGGAGTGATATGTGCTGTTTGGGAGAGGTTGAAACCAGTCGTGCTGCTGCATTTTGTATCATCTGCAGGGGTTTGATAGTGCACGTAGGGAGTTGAATTACTCAATGCGTGATAAGCACTGCTGTGATGTAACTGAGCTTTAAATGTGCCCTCTGAAGGATGCAGCCTCTCAACTGGGACACAACCTTTCTGTGGTCACTGAAGGTGACTCACCTGGAGTTTCCAGGAAGAACCAACGTTTTGCTTCCTGTTGCGGTGCTGCTGCAGCCTCCATCACCCGGTGACAGTGTAGTGATACTGACAGAAGCCAGCCAATCAGATGGAGCCTGCAGTTAAGAGTCAACATTGTTTCCCCCACATAATCAAATCATGATCATTTAACCACCATTAGATATCTGACACTTGTCTTTACCTCTGGTTCGTAGCGAATCACCAGCTGGTAATCCATTGATGATGGTAGGTTGTCCACTGTGAATCTTAGGCCCACCCCCTCTAGCACCCTAACCAGTCCCAGGCCGGTCCACGTGACAGGTCGATCAGCTGACCTCTGACGAGGGATGATCTGCAGGGCGTGACCCGGGCCCAGAGGAATGGTGGACTGCTGCAGAATGTCAGAGATATTCATAAACATAGGTCAGACTGAGCCCTCCTATTGGTGGAAGGTGGTGAATCAGACATCTAACCTGTCTCCTCCTACGAGCGAGTCGACGAGTCCTCCGGACCAGAACCACTCGACCGTTACTAAACTTAAAGTCATAACCCTGCTCCCTGTAATACTGCTCACAGTCGGGTAACAGGGCAGGGTTCAACTGGAAATACAAACAGATAGTTCACGTTTGAAACACATAGAAGTTAAATATATTCACAGTTGTGCATATTTAATTCTTACTGTGTGTGCTGTCATCATTGATACACACCAAAGAAGAAGAAGATGGAGGACGAGTAGGAGAGGGAGAAGAAAAGCCTCCTCCCAGCAGTGGAGCGGCAAGCTCCGCCTCATACAGGAAATAGTCAAGCAGAGGCAGGAAGTACCCCTGGGCGGGCTCAGAGCAGCGCCGCCCCACCATGTTGGGTAGACAGTAACACTGTCCATTCTCTGGAGAACACCTGAGCAGGTAAAACGTGCTTCACTGTTACTTCCTGTTTAAATGGTTACTTTACTTACTGTTCACTTATTATGAACGGATTTGGTAAAACCTTCCATTAGAACAGTGTGTTCTTTTGTGTGTAATTCTCTCTTGATAAACAGATACATATATTGTATAAATAAATGAGATATATAAATAAACATTTTATTATACATTTCAGTGATGAATCTGTGAACACATTCAGACTTAAGAAACTCACGTGTTGATTTGAGCTCCTCCAATGTCACAGTCGCAGGGTGAACACCTGAAAACAGAGCTCCCTAAACCCCAGAAACCTGACTGAAGACAAAACACAGACAAAAAGATACACTGAGCATCAGTTTCATGTAAAGTCAGGATCTTCTGTGGTCATTTCTAGTTTCTAGTTTCTAGTTTCTAGTTTCTAGTTTCTCATTTCTATTTCAGACCATAGCCCAGTTTTTCTACAGTTGCTCTTCAGGGAAAAACCATGCATTAGTAAATAATGGAAGTTTGACCCACAAAAACAAAAAAAAAGGTCATGATCATAATGAGGTCAGTATCAGAATGAAGTCAGTATCATAACGAGGTCACTTTGACAAAGAGGTCACTGTTACTTTGAGATCAGAATCTTAAGGTCAATATTATAAGAGGTCAGGGTCATAACGAGGTAACTGTCCTAACGAGGTCACTGTTATAACAAGGTCACTGTGCTAATGAGGTCAGGATCGTTTGAACTTACTGACATTGTTTCCTCTTTTCTAGATCCCTGTTTGTGTTGTTCTTACTCTCTGATGTACGTCGCTTTGGATAAAGGCAAGGCAAGTGAACTGTAGAATTGTTGGATACTCAGGATCAAAACAAGGTCAGCTATTATAAGAGGTAAGGATCATAACGAAGTACCTGTTATTATGAGGTCACTATTTAAACGAGGCCACTGTTATAACGAGGCCAGCTATTATAATGAGGTCACTGTTATAACGAGGTCAGCTATTATAATAAGGTCACTGTTATAACGAGGTCACTGTTATAACGAGGTCAGATATTATATTGAGGTCACTGTTATAACGAGGTCACTGTTATAACGGTTGTTTTAGATTTGTAGTTCTTGCAATGGCCACCAGAGGTCAGTATATATTTTGTTTCTCCAGTCTGCTGCTTTGAGGGGAACTTACCACACATTGATCACACAGTGGTCCACTTGCAAAACGATCACATTCACAAGTTCCTGTCTGCTGATCACATGACCCATCACTTCCTGAAACATGACACCTACACACTGAAACAGGCACATACACACAAACAGAGCATGGCTTCATGTTAGAGATACAAAGTGAAACAGGAAGTATTTATTCTTCTGCTGTTTAAATAGAAGTGGATTGGTTACCCTGGCAGCCCACCGGGTCGTCAGCTCTCAGACCAAAGAATCCTTGTTTACAGCGATCACAGCGTTGACCTTCAACATTTTCTTTACACACACACTGACCACTCAGAGTGTCGCACAGACCGCTGCCCTGAGAGCCGGCATGGTCGCAGTCACACGCTGAAACACAGGAAGTATATTGATATACAGTATATATTATATTTATTCATATATGTATGTAAATATTTATAAATAATCATAAGCATCAACCTCAGTGTGACCATGATCATTGTGAATGAGAGGAATCAGACTTATCAAAGATTGTCAGCAGACGATGACAGCATTTAATATGTCGCAGAGTTTCTATAGAGACTTTTAAATAAATAACCTTTTTTTTATTTTTTTATAAATCTTTTTATTAGATTTTTAATTCAGCAGTACATGACACATACAGTGTATCCAGGTAAACTTGTTGAAAGGTAGTAGGAAGTTTGTGTTAAAAAACAACAATCAACTTAACCTAAACCAGAACGGCTTCTACTACTGAACCGTAGTTACCCATTATCAATTCCCACCCATTGTTATGAGAAACAAAAAAAACAAAACATGACCACTACTGAAATTACAAATAAGATAGGAGAAATTAAAACAAGTCGATAAAAAACAAAACAAAAAACAAAAAAACAAAACAAAAAACAAAAAACAACAAAAAAACAGGGGGGGGAGGAGGTGGGCATCTAGTCACTTTCTGGGTGAATAATAGTTCTGTCTAAGTATTCTAAGAATGGCTGCGAGGTTTTGTTTAAAACATTACCAGGACCCGCAAGTGAAAGTCTAACCTTTTCAAGTTTGATATGAGTTAGGACCTCCCTAAGCCATCTATTGTGTGAAGGGGGGAGAGCATGTTTCCATTTAAACAAAATAAGGCGTCTGGCCAGTAGAGTTGTAAAGGCCAATACCCGCCGCTTTGTCATAGGGAGATTAGGTATTGTAAGTGGGAGGGAACCAAACAGAGCCAAGCAAGGCTCAGGGCCAAGATCCAAATCAAGCACTATTGCAAGTGTGTCAAAAATTTGGCGCCAGAAGCCAGTGAGGCTCGGGCAGGACCAAAACATGTGTGTGTGATTAGCAGGTGACTGCTCAAACACCTGTTACAACTGTCACTGGTGCCTGGGTAAATCTTCACCAGCCGAGTGTTTGTGTAGTGCACTCTGAAAAGAACCTTACATTGTAATAAGCCGTGCCTAGCACACATGGAGGACAAGTGAATTAGCTTAAGAATTTGGTCCCACCGGCTGTCTGATATAGGTACTCCTAATTCCTCCTCCCAGGTCTGCTTCAGGCGAGTCATTTGGTCAGGGTTATGGAATCAATGGAGTTATAAATCACAGAGATGGAACGTCTTTGGTCAGGGTCGAGGGTAAGCAAAGAGTCAATCAGAGACCCGGGCGGGTGGTTGGGGAAGTGGGGGTAGGCGGCTTGGACAAAGTGCCTGGCTTGAAGAAAATGGAAAAAGTAAGAGTGAGGTAATTCGAGGCTGGCTGAAAGCTCTGTGAAATCAGTAAAAAAAAATTATTTGTAAAGGTCCTTGACATATAGCAGGCCTTTGTTTCGCCAGATATTAAAAGTAGGGTCGAATAGGGAGGGTGGAAATAGATGGTTTCTAACAATCAGGGCTAAAATTGAAGGTTCATTCAAACCATAATATTTACGGAATTGTATCCAAATTTTCAGTGAATTGGTAACAACAGGGTTCTGTGAGACATTATGAATCTTGAAGGAAGGTGTGCGGTGAGGAGGGACTGTAAAGAAAACTTTGAGGACCGTAGTTCTATCTGAGCCCATGAGGGACCTGTGTCAGCTCCCCTGTCAAGCCAATGACTAAGTTTGTTAATGTTGCATGCCCAATAATATTGGATAAGATTGGGTAGTGCGAGACTGCCCAGCTTTTTAGGGAGTTGTAAAACAGCTTTTTTAATACGGGTTGGCTTATTCAACCACAGGAACGACGATACTGTCTGGTCTAGCTGTTGAAAGAAGGACCTTCTCATAAAAATTGGAATATGCTGGAACAAATAGAGGAATTTAGGTAGAATCACCATCTTTACCAGGTTAACTCTGCCAGTTAAGGAGAGAGGGAGAGAGGACCAGCGAGTCATATCAAGCTTACACTTATCAATTAAGAGGCCGAAATTTTTTGTTGAAAAGGTCCTCAAAAGAAGCAGTGACGAATACGCCTAAATATCGAAACCCCTCTGAAACGACTCTAAATGTTAAAGAGGACGATGGCATCCTCCTAGCCAGGAGGTTGATAGGGAGAAGTTCACTTTTATTAAAATTTAATTTATAACCAGAATATCTGCCGAACTGGGTTAAAATATGTGTAATAACAGGGATGGACGAGGCCGGGTTTGACACAAATAATAGCAAATCATCCGCGTACAGGAACAACTTGTGGGTGACATTGTTCCTGGTAATGCCCTCGACTCTCCCCTCCCCCCAAAGCCAGATGACCAACGGCATGATAGCGAAAGTAAATAGGAGGGGGGAGAGGGAGCATCCCTGTCTAGTGCCCCGGCAAAGGGCAAAGGAGGGCGACCTCACACCGTTTATTAAGATATGGGCAGTTGGGGAGTCATAAAGCAATCTAATCCATGCAATAAAGTCAGAGCTGAAACCAAATTTTGACAGGACGTAGTACAGATACTCCCACTCAATCCTGTCAAACGCTTTCTCAGCGTCTAAAGAAACTACCACCTCAGGTACCACAGGGTTGGGGGAGCCAATAATGTTGAGGAGTCGTCTGGTGTTGAATGACGAATTCCTTCCAGCCACGAACCCAGTCTGGTCTGTGGAAATCAGGGCAGATAGGGCTTGCTGCAGACGAGTGGCTAGGATCTTGGCGAGAATCTTTTGGTCCACATTTAAAAGTGGGATGGGCCTATAATTGTTGCATTCGAGGGGATCCTTGTCTTATTTTAATAAAAGAGAAATGTTAGCTTCAGATAGGGTTGGGGGCAGTCTGCCACTAGTAAATGATTCATTGTAGACATTAACCAAATGTGGGGTTATAAGGTTTGAATATGCTTTGAATATACAACCCTGTCTGGGCCAGGGGATTTGTCATTTTGTAGCTTTCCAACTACCTCCTGCACTTCCGCCAGTGAGATCGGTGCACCTAGTTTATCAGCCAGATTACTATCGACTTTGGGATACGTAAGCATCTCCAGGGGGCTGTGGCTCTTCCAAATTTCAGGCGAGTACTCTGAAATGTACAGGTCAGAATAGAAATTTAAAAACGCAATGTTTGATGACAATTTTATCCTGGGGATCAGAGAGAGCTGCAGTCCTAGCCTGATGGGCGAGAAGTTTGCCCGCCTTATCTCCCATTTCAAAATAACATTGCCTTGTTTTTAACCTTAGATATTGACAAAAGGTCAAACTCAGCCTGAAATTAAGACATTGGTCATAAAGAAAGGGAGTGGGGGCGGCAACATTGTGTGTCAATTTTCAATAGTTGATCTGAGAGCCAGACCATCTTTCTCGTGTCCACCTTTTTCTGGCGGGAGGCAAACGAGATCGCCTGTCCCCTCAAATATGCTTTACACGCCTCCCATAGAGTGCCTCTCGAGATGTCTGGGGTATCATTTGTTTGAAAGAAGTTGGCTATCTTCTCCTGGAAATTTTTTAAAAACGTGGATTACTCAATAAAAGGTGGGAAAGTTTCCATTGTGAATGTGGAGAGCTGTGGTTTGGGAAATTTATGACTACCGATGTAGGAGCATGGTCTGAGATCACTATACTGTGATACTCACTTGAGTTGACCCAATGCAATAGCCTATTATCAACGAAAAAGAAAATCAATTCTTGAATATATACGATGAACGTGGGAGAAAAACGAAAAAGCTTTGGTGGATGGGTTAAGAGTCCGCCAAGGATCACTTAGGCCAAGCTGGCACATAAAAGATTTCAATGTGGTGGCAGAGTTGGACAAAGTGGGGGTTCTAGAGGAGGACCTATCTAGAACAGGTTCCTGAATAAGGTTGAAATCACCACCTATAATCGGATAGTGACTGTCTATATATACGATGCCAAAAATAAATAAATAAATAAAAAACCCTATTAACACAATTAAAACCCCTATACAGCTTCCAGGTTTTGTTATACTCACTGAACCTCATAACTTCACCACTCCTGCAGGACAAAATGTAACCCTGATAGCACAGACAGTCAGACAATAACAGAGAAAAGTTTAAGCGCCTGCCATATTATAATAATAATAATAATAATAATACATTTTATTTAAAGGCGCCTTTCAAAACTCTCAAGGTCACCTTACAGAGCAGAGATAAAAAACAACAAAGTAACAACACAACGATGAAATTAACATTAAAAAACACAAATGTACAGGATGTAAAGGAGTTATAAGAACGGGTGGAGAATGATCAGACTGAATATGCCAGTTTAAAAAGATGTGTTTTGAGATGAGATTTGAAAATGGAGTGTCGATATTACGGATTTGTGGTGGGAAGGAGTTCCAGAGGTGGGGGGCAGAGCGGCTGAAGGCCCTGGACCCCATGGTGGACGGGCGGGTGGTGCAGTGAGTTGAATGGAAGAAAAAGACCTGAGAGTGCGGGTAGGTATGTTGATGTGCAGGAGTTCAGAGATGTAAAGTGGAGCGAGGTTGTGGATGGCCTTGAAGGTGAGAAGCAGAATTTTGAAGGTGATGCGATGTTTAACCGGGAGCCAATGAAGCTGCTGTAGGACAGGGGTGATGTGATTAACAGAGGGCGTTCTGGTGATGATGCGAGCGGCAGAATTCTGGACCAGTTGAAGTTTGTGGATGGACTTGAGAGGGAGACCAAAGAGAAGGGAGTTGCAGTAGTCAATGCGGGATGTAACCAGGGTGTTGATGAGGATGGCAGTACTGCTGGGAATGAGGGACGGGCGGAGGCGATTAATGTTACGTAGATGGAAATAAGCAGACCGGGTGACATTATTGATGTGAGCTTGGAATGATAGTGTGCTGTCAAGGATGACACCCAGACTCTTAACCTGAGGGGAAGGGGAAACTGAGGAGTGGTAAATAGCCAGAGAAAAACTGTCAAGTTTGGAGATTGTTGATTTGGTGCAGATGAGGAGAAGCTCGGTTTTGTCACTGTTTAATTTGAGGAAGTTGAAGGTGAACCAGGATTTGATTTCTTGCAGGCAATCAGTCAGGGAAGTGGGTGGGAGGGAGGAGGTGGACAGATAGAGCTGGGTGTCATCCGCATAGCAATGGAACTGGATGTTATACTTACGGAAGATATGGCCAAGAGGAAGGAGATAGATGATGAACAGAAGGGGGCCCAGGACAGAACCCTGAGGAACACCGGTGGTGACTGGAAATGGTTGGGATTTGAAGGTTCCGAGTTGAGTGAACTGAGTACGACCAGAGAGATAGGATGAAAACCAGTGCAAGGGTGTGTCAGTGATTCCAATGGAGGCAAGTCTGTCAAGGAGTGTGTGATGGGAGATGGTGTCGAAGGCTGCACTTAGATCAAGGAGGATGAGGATGGCCAAAAGGCCAAAAACCAAACTAGTCACATGTGAGCATAAACGTTGTGATACAACAGTCACTATGGAAAAATTCCCCCAGACAACAGTGCAGGTTTTCCCATTACTCAACCCCTTTAGAGCAATAAAGTGCGATATGTCCCAGAAATAGAAACCAAAGACATGAGTAGAGAGGCTGCATTTTCATGTAACAGAAAACACAATCATCATAACTCCCACTTCGACGCAACAGGCATCTTTGTATTAAACGTTTGACTGATATTACCCCTAATAAAAAATTTAAAACATGGTCAAGGACCAAACGGGCCATGTGGCATAGTTAAGCACAACAAACAGGGGCAGACTCCATTCACAACATCGGTTCAACAAGTCCAGACAGAGTTTTACAAAAAACAATGTTCAAAGAGCATCATACGACACTAGTAAGAGTTCACAGTCACTGTGTGTTAAATATTATCATGTCGAGACACTCTTACCGGCTGAGCGTAATCCCGAAGCTGTTACCGGTGTTAGCATTAGCCGCTAGTAGATTAGCCCGTGCAACGACTGCAGAGTCGGGGCAATGAAGCAGCATCATGGGGCGGACATGGACCTCACGAAGGCAGCGGCTTCTTCAACTGAGGAAAAACGTTTCTTGTTGCCATCTTTCTTGGTGATTTGAAGCTTTGCTGGGTAGAGCAGAGCTGGTTGGAGGCCCAGGTTATACAGCTTAGCCATGAAATCGCGGTAGGTCGCACGTTGCTCTAAGACGTCGGGGCAGTAATCCTCATAGATGTGGACCGGCGAGTCATGGTACTTCAGGTCATTCTTCCGTTTGCAAGCCTCCCAGACTACCAGATCTTTGGTCTGGTGCCGGTGGAAGCATACGATCACAGGCCTAAGCCTGTCACCCTGTCGCGACTTAGCAGCTAGGGAGCGGTGGGCCCGGTCTTGCTCTGGTGGGGTTTGCAGCACTTGGTCCCCGAATATCTCCATCAGGACTTCAGAGAAAAAGGTTGTGGGTCGTGGACCTTCTAAGGACTCTGGCAGGCCGACAATCCTGACTTTGTTACGTCGGCTTCGTCCCTCCAAATCGATGCTCTTGGCCTTAAGCTTGGCACAAGCCTCAGATAAAGTGGAGCATGATATTTCAAGGGCCTGGATGCGTCCTTCAGTTAAATTGGTGTTGGTCTCCAAACTCACAATTCGTTCACCAAAGTCAGTCACTGTGGCTTGTGTCTAGTTTAGCTTCAAGAGAAGAAAACTTTTAAAGTGACCCAGTCAGAAGAGTTTAAAAGAGTTTAAAAGAGTCTGAAAGACAGATTTAGACTTGGTTTTAGATGTTGTAAGACTGCTTTGTGCGTGCGTGTGTGTGTGTGTGTGTGTGTGTGTGTGCGCGCGCGCGTGTCTGTGCATAGATGTGTGTGTGTGTGTGTGTGCATAGATGTGTGTGTGTGCGTGTGACTGTGTGTGTGTGTGTGTATGTGTGTGTGTGTGTGTGTGTGTGTGTGTGTGTGTGTTGATCTCTCTCAGTGTGTGTTGAACACTTTGCAGACAAAAACACAGAGTGAACGTACGTATGCAAGCCTGTGGGTCGTCAATGGCTCTCTGAGGATCCTGATACAGGAAAGGTCGACAGCGTTCACATTGTGGCCCCGCCCTGTCATGGCGGCAGTTGTCACACACGCCGCCGCTCACGCCGCCGGTGGCGTCAAAACGAGAGACATCAAAGTGACAGGAGTCGGAGTGAGCGTTACAGTTACACCCTGAGAAAGTGAAGAGAAAGAAAACCCTGAGTCACACTTCACAGGCTGACTCAAATTAATATTTTCATGAAACAGAAAACATTGAATTACAAGATAAAGTCCTGACTTTATACAAAACTACAAAACAAGAAGATAATTTATACCTGAAAACATGCCACCCCCTCTTTAACCCTGTAAAAGTCAACGCTGCTACATTACAACATCATCATTAGCTGTCCTTTAAAAACGATGTGAATGTTTCTCCTTCCGGGAAGATGAGACTGGTTCAGGAGGGCAGCTCTTGAGGTGCGAGCGATGAGGTGAGGACGATCTTGAAGGGAGGTTTCTTCATGGAGGATATATATGAGCGGATAATGGACTGGACCGGACTGTGGTGACCATTTATAACAAACTCTTTATGGTCTTAGTCAGTCTCCACTGAGGGCTGAAGTCAAACTAGTTGCATGGTCTGTACAAAACATCAAACCAAAGTCCGACAGGTTTAGATGATCCGCCCCTTTCTCTAACCAAAACACACTTACATTCCCTTTAAATAATCAAAGGCAATGGGTTGCCGATGGCCAAGTTGTTAGCTTGCACCATGTAACCCTCCAAGCGGGCGGCCTACGTTCAACTCTATCCGCTGTCCTGTCTGAATAAAAACCCATAATAAGTCTTTAAAGAAAACCAAACTAACAGAAGTTCAAAGGTCGCTAAGGTAAAACTTTCTGTTAAAATGTCAAAGGTTGATCAGGTGGGTTCTGATTCTTGTGTTTTTTTGAAGACACTCATTGTTATGAAAAGTTCAAAGACTCTTGTGATCGTGTTGGTTTCCTCTCGCCGTTCCTAATTTGTTTCACACAGCAACGCAGGAGTCTCATTGGTCTTCACAGCTATCAATCATTGTTTCATACTCCTATGTATCATCATATGTATCATGATTACTTTTTAATTTATAATAAGTCATTAATCCTGTGAATAAACCTCAGCTGTTGTTTTTACTGTTTCAGATATTTGGGGGAGGGAGTTCTGTTCTCAGTGTTACAACATTTCTCTAAACACTCAGAAAAAAGTGTAAGCTGCTCAATGTTTGGGCCAAAAGGCGTCCAAAAACAACATCCATGTATTTATTGTTTGGCTCTGACAGGGTTAAAATATCTTACTCCTGCAGATGTTGGCGGAGTTTTCTCCTCCAGGCCTCCAGGGGGAGTCATGGTGAAAGTCCTGACATCTCTCACAGTTCTCTCCAGCCGTGTTGTGCTGACATACACATCGACCATGAACCTGGAAGAAAGAAAAAACACATGAACCCTTTGCAGTCCAAACGTGACCAGCTCCAGTCCAAGACCAACCAAAACCAGTTCAAGACCGACCAGGACAAGTCCAAGACCAGTCCAAGAACAACCAAAACCAGTCCAAGACTGACCAAAACCAGTTCACGACTGACAAGGATAAGTCCAAGACCAGTCCACGACTGACCAAAACCAGTCCAAGACCGACCAAAACCAGTCCAAAACTGACCAGGACAAGTCCAAGACCAGTCCAAGACCAACCAAAACCAGTCCAAGACTGACCAACACTAGTCCAAGACTGACCAAAACCAGTTCAAGACTGACCAGGACAAGTCTACGACCAGACCAAGATGAACCAAAACCAGTCCAAGGCTGACCAGGATAAGTCCAAGACCAGTCTAAGACTGACAAAACCAGTTCAAGACTGACCAGGACAAGTCCAAGACCAGTCCAAGACCAACCAAAACCCGTCCAAGACTGACCAAAACCAGTCCAAGTCTGACCAGGATAAGTCCAAGACCAGTCCAAGACTGACAAAACCAGTTGAAAACCAACCGAAACTAGTCGAAGACTGACCAAAACCAGTTCAAGACCAACCAGGACAAGTCTAAGACCAGTCCAAGACCGACAAAAACCAGTCAAACACTGACAAGGATAAGTCCAAGACTAGTCCAGGACCGACCAAAACCAGTCCAGGACTGACCAGGATAACTCCAAGACCAGTCCAAGACCGACCAAAACCAGTCCAAGACTGACTAAAACTAGTCCAAGATTGACCAAAACCAGTTCAAGACCAACCAGGAAAGTCCAATAACATATCAAGCAGGTTCTGGACCGTACCATGGCTGTCTGGTCGAAGACATCCCCCCGTCCTGGGTCGACAGGTGTACACTCGCTGGCATGTCCGTTACAGAAGCAGCTTCCCCTGACCACCATGTTGTAAAGAGCGTAGTAATATTTATCCTGAGGGTTCCTCCGACGGCGAGCCAGCAGTGTGTCACCCAACGTGAAGAGACGAGTGAAGTTCACACGAATGTTCGTTAACGTGATCAGATCTGAAAAAAAGATTATCATAAAAACATGTTAGAATATTAAAATATTTATTGATTTATTTAAAACAGGGACAGTGTACATTAATGAACATAAACATGTAAATATTCCAGATTACTACATGTTCTATATCTATGATAAAAACATGTTAGTCTACATGTTCTATATCTATAATAAAAACATGCAAGTCTACATGTTCTATATCTATAATAAAAACATGTATAACTGTTACAACCAATCAGAGAGCAGGATTTTCTGACCTTGGATGTTCGCTGCGTACGGGTTTCCTATTTCAAAGATTGGATCGAGAGCTTTCAGCACCACCTGGTGGACGAACCGAGAACAACAACATTTAGAGAATCAGTGTGTTTGTGTTTGTGTGTGTTTTTGTGTATGTGTGTATGTGTGTGTGTGTGTGTGTGTGTATGTGTATGTGTGTGTGTGTGTGTGTGTGTGTGTGTGTGTGTGTGTGTGTGTGTGAGTGTTTGTGTATGTGTGTGTGTATGTGTGTATTGTGTGTATGTGTATGTGTGTGTGTGTGTGTGTGTGTGTTTGTGTGTATTGTTTGTGTGTGTATGTGTGTATTGTGTGTGTATGTGTGTGTGTGTGTGTGTGTATGTGTATGTGTGTGTGTGTGTGTGTGTGTTGTGTGTGTGTGTGTTTGTGTATGTGTGTGTTTATGTGTGTGTGTATGTGTATGTGTGTGTGTGTGTGTGTGTTTGTGTGTATTGTTTGTGTGTGTGTATGTGTGTATTGTGTGTGTATGTGTATGTGTGTGTGTGTGTGTGTGTTTGTGTGTATTGTTTGTGTGTGTGTATGTCTGTATTGTGTGTGTATGTGTGTATGTGTTAGTGTATGTGTGTGTGTGTGTGTGTGTGTGTGTGTGTGTACGTGTATGTGTGTGTGTGTGTATGTGTGTGTGTGTGTGTATCTCTCTGTGTGTGTGTGTGTGTGTGTGTGTGTGTGTGTGTGTGTGTGTGTGTGTGTGTGTGTGTGTGTGTGTGTATGCGCGTGTATGCGCGTGTGTTTATGTGTTGGGTGAGTTTATATGTTTGATATCATCTGTCAGATGTTCATGTTTATATAAATAAAGTTTTCCGGATTCAAATCCTTCACCTCTCCGTCTGTTGATGGTTCTGATCCCGAGTATCGGCTGTCACAGATAACATCGTCTACGCTGTCCGCTGGCTCGGCCGACACTGAGGGAAAATGAAGCGAACAATCTTCTGCAAAGTAACGAAAAACTTTCCAGCTTTGTCCAAAATCCTTTGAACGCTCCACCAACATGGCTGCCGGACGAAAACTCTGCAGGGAGAGGACAGGAAGTGACATCACAGGATGATTTTATAGACTGGAGTGACTGATGTTTGATAAATGGGTTTCCACTACCTTGAAGGTGAGGACCAGATGACTGAACTGGAACACGGTCTCCAGATCCAGCCTGATGCTGACTTGATGGATTCCTGCAGACCACAGAGCATCAGTTACCCACTGCACAGGTATACAGGTGATCAGAGCGTCGGTTACCCACTGCACAGGTAAACAGGTGATCAGAGCGTCGGTTACCCACTGCACAGGTATACAGGTGATCAGAGCGTCGGTTACCCACTGCACAGGTATACAGGTGATCAGAGCGTCGGTTACCCACTGCACAGGTAAACAGGTGATCAGAGCGTCGGTTACCCACTGCACAGGTATACAGGTGATCAGAGCGTCGGTTACCCACTGCACAGGTAAACAGGTGATCAGAGCGTCGGTTACCCACTGCACAGGTAAACAGGTGATCAGAGCGTCGGTTACCCACTGCACAGGTATACAGGTGATCAGAGCGTCGGTTACCCACTGCACAGGTATACAGGTGATCAGAGCGTCGGTTACCCACTGCACAGGTAAACAGGTGATCAGAGCGTCGGTTACCCACTGCACAGGTATACAGGTGATCAGAGCGTCGGTTACCCACTGCACAGGTATACAGGTGATCAGAGCGTAGACATTGTAGACAGGGCAGGTCTTGGCGTGCTGAACCGTGGCAGTGTAGACTGGCTCTTGTACCTAGAATATCACCTCTCCGGTGAGGGAGGTAGAGCACTATCAACTAGAGATACTTTTGCCCACGTCCATGAACTTCTCTGGCTTGGAACCAATCTCCTTGAGATGGACTAAAATCTCCTTTTCCTGATATGCCCAGGGTAAAAGGTGTAGAGATACTCACAAGGCCCCTGACTGAGCGCTGATGTGTTTGGGTTTTCCCCTGGGAGAACGAGGGTGAATTTTTACCCCAATGAGGCAGTGGATTGCTTCGGTTGAGGAGTCAGTCTTTGCCCCAAGTGAAGGAGTTTAAGTTCTTGGGGTCTTGTTCAAGTAAGATGGATGATGAGATGCCAAAGGCATCAAAGCTGAGCCAAAAGGCAAAGCTTTCACTTATTCATGCAATCTACTTTCCAATCCTCACCTGTGGGCATGGGCAATAGATCCCAACTACAGACAGCTGAAATGATTTTCCTCTGCAGGGTGTCTGGGCTCAGCCTTAGAGAGAGGGTGAGGAGGTCAGACACTCGAGGGCAGCTCAGAGTACAGCTGCTACTCCTTTGCATTAAAAGGAGCCAGTTGAGTTGGTTCAGGCATCTGATAAGGATCTTCCTGGTTGCCTGCCTTTACAGGTCTCCAGCACGTCCAACTGGGAAGAGCCCATTAGGGAGACCCAGAGCTTCCTGGAGGGTTTATCTACCCCTTCTGGCCTGGGAAGAACTCGGGATCCCCCAGGAGGAGCTGGACATTTTTTCTGGGGAGAAGGAAGTTTAGGGAAGTTTTGGCCTGCTGCCACTGCAACCGGGCACAGATAAGTGGAAGGAAAGTGATGGATGGATGGTACAGATTAAACTGAACCCAGTGCTGCTTAAAGTGTTCCCAGTACAGAACAGACATCATACTAGATGCTGGTTGCAGCTTACAGATAAATATCTGAACAGATTCTGTGGATTCTTCTGTAAAACTCACATTTTAATAGAAACATGATGTTTTACAGCTCACTGTTTTAACAGTCTCTTTTTCATTTAGACAATAAACAGCCTGAAAAAACAACCTGAGTTTATCACTAGGATGTCTGTGGTCACTTTAAACTCACCATTCTCAGACTGCCACCACTTCAGCTTTCTCTCAGGGTCAAATGTAGTGATGACGTTCTCGATGCGGTGGCTGTTGGGGTTGCTATGGCGATTGTAGGTCAGTCTTGAGTCACATGTGAAGCATTTCTGCTCCTCCTGATGTAAACACACATCAAACTACATGGATCAATAATCACCATCAATATGTCAAATACATAGAAGAAATATATATGTCAAATATGTCAGCTGATCAAAAGTTCTGATGGATATAACAGCTGGTTCTGACCCAACTTTATGCAGGAATGAGCAGAAGACGAAAGGATTGCTCCTCAGGGTGGAAAGAACAGAGTTGGATAATAACGGACAAATCAGAACATGTCAGAGTATGAAAGTCAAAGCACGAGCCAAAAACACGTGGATCACACAGAAAACACACACACACACACACACACACACACACACACACACACACACACACACACACACACACAGTACAAACACAGACACACACACACGCACACACGCACACACACATACATATACACACACAGACACAAACTGTTGTTGGCTGTACTGTGTCTGTGTGTGTGTGTGTGTGTGTGTGTGTGTGGGACTGTGTCTGTGTTTCTCTGTGTGTGTGTTTGTGTTTGTACTGTATGTGTGTGTGTGTGTGTGTGTGTGTGTGTGTGTCTGTGTGTGTGTCTGCGTGTGGTAATTTAGATTGAAGTATATTTTATACATTTTGGTCCTTGACAAACTAAACAATGAACTAAACAAAACAAATATCATCACACACAGAAAAAGGAACCCCTAATGTCACATTGTGAACTCTGACCTCCAGGTATCCAATGATGCAGTACTTCTGAGGTCCATCCAGTCCACAGGTGGACGAGGCTGACAGCCGAGCTGCTCGCCCCAACATCAGGTCACCCAGCAGGGGGTTACAGGACCCATCTGGACACCCTTCCTGGAGGTCCTGGAGATGAGCTGCAGGAAGAAGCACTGCAGAAGAAGAAACATGGCTGTGACATCATACAGATGAAGCCACCAAAAACTTCCCTTCCAAAACAGAAGCCAGTCAGCAGGCATTTGGCTTTCAGCCAGTTCCAAGGCAGAGAGAGAGCCCCCCCTCTTCCTTAGGGCGTCCACTGTAAACACATCCATGTATTCAATACGCCATGAGATGGCGCTTCCCTCACAAGAACACATCAACCTACAGTAAACCGTATTTATTGTTTAGTCAGGCATAGTTACGCAATCAATCAATCAATCATTTTTTATTTGTATAGCGTCAACTCATACGAAGTGTTATCTAGAGACACTTTACAAAAAGCAGGTAGAAGACGGGGCAACTTAGTCTATTAATATTTTACATTAATAATCTAAATCCACACAATCCACTTTTATATAAACACTGGAACTCCTAGAATCGTAAAGCCTAACTGAATGAACTCAGCTGTCATTCTAACACATGTATTAATGAACACTGAATCACATCAGTCTTCATTCTTTCTTCACTCGAGGATACAATAACTTGAATTTTAATGTACAAACCCTTTACACATTTTCTTCTTCCTTCTTGTGGTACCTACGGTCTCTAAATGTACTATGGGACTATAAAAATAAAGATTGATTGATTGATTGACACACACACAAACACACAAACATACACACTGTATGAAAACATGGCCATGTATGTAAAAAATGTAAAAAAAATATATAACTGAGCGGTGGGGGGCGCTTCTGAGCTTCACTGAGTGGAACAGGCTCAGAGAAGTGCGTTGCTTTCTGGTCGAGGAATTCCAATCTTTCTAAGTTGTCCCTTAAATATCAGGAACAAGCTTAGACATTCTTGAGAGTTTAGACCAGGATTACATTGGTCTAACATGCAATCGATTTATGTGTCCTCAAAATAAAGACGCTCCACCTGTGTACCTTACCACACCTCGGCTAACCACTAACACTCCCCCTGGTGCTAATGAGGGCGCTAATGATGGGGGGACTAACGAGGGAGCTAATAGTTGCACTTACTAGGGCACTAATGGGGGCGCTAAAGGGGACATTAATGGGGACGCTAACGGTGGTACTGGACATGAAAATGAAAATGTGGAAAACAGAACAAACACCTTGAAACTCACCGACCAGGAGGACCAGGATCATGGTGAGCTGGTCTCTGATGATCTCTGATGGTCTCTGGTGGTCTCTGAATGGTTCTTGTGTGAAAATAAATAAAAAATATGTTAAAACCAGTACATCTTATGTGAACCTGTTGCACACACACAGGTAACTATGGTAACATATTAGGCATGTGTTTAAGTAAAAATCAATGTTTTTATATAAAGGTCACATATCCTCCTCCTCTTCAATCAGTGTAAATAAGTCTCAGAGCTCCTCAAAACATGTGTGTGAAGTTTCTTGTTCTAAATCCAATCTGATCCTGTATTTGATCATGTCTATAAACCCCTCTATTTCAGCCCTGCTCAGAACAGGCTGTTCTGTGTCTGTACCTTTAAATGTAAATGAGCTGTGTCTGACCCCCTCTCTGGAAGGGCTTGGGTGTCTCGGGCTTTCTCGCTCCATATCCTATTGTTTACGGTGAGACGACAGACTCAGAGGGCAGAACAAACACCTAGCTGTGGGAGTGTCACCCACCTGGGGGAGGGGTTACTGCCCTTTGTGATGTCATGAAGGGAAAATCTCCAAACAGCCTGTTTGAGCAGACATTTTCTGACAAGTGGAGCAGGCAAAAGACGGAGAGGATGGACTTTTCTCATCATTGGGGGGTTTATAGACGGACGAGGACACACATATATACAGTACTGTGCAAAAGTTTTAGGCAGGTGTGAAAAAATGCTGTAAACTAAGAATGCTTTCAAAAATATAAATAATGATTGTTTATTTTTATCAATTTACAAAATGCAAAGTGAGCGAACAAAAGAAAAATCTAAATTACATCAATATTTGGTGTATACCCTTTGCCTTCAAATCAGCATCAATTCTTATAGGTACACTTGCAAAAAGTCAGGGATTTTGTAGGATTGTAGTCAGGTGTATGATCAACCAATTATACCAAACAGGTGCTAATGCTCATCAATGTCACATGTAGGTTGAAACACAGTCATTAACTGAAACAGAAACAGCTGTGTAGGAGGCTTAAAACTGGGTGAGGAACAGCCAAACTCTGCTACCAAGGTGAGGTTGTGGAAGACAGTTTCATGTCACAAGTCATACACTATGGCAAGACTGAGCACAGCAACAAGACACAAGGTAGTTATACTGCATCAGCAAGGTCTCTCCCAGACAAATATTTCAAAGCAGACTGGTGTTTCAAGATGTGCTGTTCAAGCTCTTTTGAAAAAGCACAAAGAAACGGGTAACGTTGAGGATTGTAGACGGTCGGCCAAGGAAACTTTGTGCAGCAGATGAAAAACACATCAAGCTTATTTCCCTTCAAAATCGGAAGATGTCCAGCAGTGCCATCAGCTCTGAACTGGCAGAAACCAGTGGGACCCAGGTACACCCATCTACTGTCCGGAGAAGTCTGGCCAGAAGTGGTCTTCATGGAAGAGTTGCCGCCAAAAAGCCATACCTCCGACATGGAAACAAGGCCAAGCGACTCAACTATGCACAAAAACATAGGAACTGGGGTGCAGAAAAATGGCAGCAGGTGCTCTGGACTGATGAGTCAAAATTTGAAATATTTGGCTGTAGCAGAAGGCAGTTTGTTCACTGAAGGGCTGGAGAGCGGTACAATAATTAGTGTCTGCAGGCAACAGTGAAGCATGGTGGAGGTTCCTTGCAAGTTTGGGGCTGCATTTCTGCAAATGGAGTAGGAGATTTGGTCAGGATTAATGGTATCCTCAATGCTGAGAAATACAGGCAGATACTTATCCATCATGCAATGCCATCAGGGAGGCGTATAATTGGCCCCAAATTTATTCTGCAGCAGGACAACGACCCCAAACATACAGCCAAGGTCATTAAGAACTATCTTCAGCGTAAAGAAGAACAAGAAGTCCTGGAAGTGATGGCATGGCCCCCACAGAGCCCTGATCTCAACATCATCGAGTGTGTCTGGGATTACATGAAGAGACAGAAGGATTTGAGGAAGCCTACATCCACAGAAGATCTGTGGTTAGTTCTCCAAGATGTTTGGAACAACCTACCAGCCGAGTTCCTTCAAAAACTGTGTGCAAGTGTACCTAGAAGAATTGATGCTGTCTTGAAGGCAAAGGGTGGTCACACCAAATATTGATTTGATTTAGATTTCTCTTCTGTTCATTCAATGCATTTTGTTAATTGATGAAAATAAACTATTAACACTACCATTTTTTAAAGCATTCTTAGTTTACAGCATTTTTTCCTACCTGCCTAAAACTTTTGCACAGTACTGTGTATATATATATATATATATATATATATATATATATAGAGAGAGAGAGAGAGAGAGTTAGAAGAACATGGTGAAGTGGATTTCAAATAATTTGTGACCTTTGATCAAAAATGTAATTTATACGTAAAAAACCAAGGGCACATCTCTATGTCTTTACTCAGCTCCCCCTTTTCCTGAACTCCCCCCCCCACCACAAACACACACACACACCACAATAATGAGTGAACCCTGGAGGCAGCCATGGCCTTTAGAGGGAATGTTTGAGCCTCAGCTGTAATCGTTGGGATTACTGTCAGAGTCTCTGAGAGCACCACACCCTGTCCTCGTGTTTCATAAAATACATTGAAATAAACTTTTATCTGTAGGTTATCTGTATCTGTCTTCAAAATATTTAATAAAATACATGTTTATGTTCTCTTAACATGCTCTTTTCACATGTTCTCTTCACATGTTCTCTTCAAGTGGTCTCTTCACTTGTTCTCTTCACATGTTCTCTTAACATGTTCTCTTCACATGTTCTCTTCACATGTTCTCTTCAAATGGTCTCTTCATATGTTCTCTTCACATGTTCTCTTCACATGTTCTCTTCAAATGGTCTCTTCATATATTCTCTTCAAGTTTTCTCTTCACATGTTCTCTTCACGTGTTCTCTTGTGTTGTTTAACTTAAGTCATTGTTCCAGTCATCTAGACCTGATCTACACCTGATCTACATCTGATCTTAACCTGATCTACATCTGATCTTAACCTGATCTTCACCTGATCTTCACCTGATCTACACCTGATCTACACCTGATCTACATCTGATCTTAACCTGATCTACATCTGATCTTAACCTGATCTTCACCTGATCTTCACCTGATCTACACGTGACCTACACCTGATCTTCACCTGATCTACACCTGATCTACACCTGATCTAAACCTGATCTTCACCTGATCTTCACCTGATCTTCACCTGACTTACATCTGATCTACACCTATTCTACACCTGATCTACACCTGATCTACACCTGATCTAAACCTGATCTTCACCTGATCTTCACCTGACTTACATCTGATCTACACCTGATCTACACCTGATCTTCACCTGATCTACACCTGACTTACATCTGATCTACACCTGATCTACACCTGATCTAAACCTGATCTTCACCTGATCTTCACCTGATCTTCACCTGACTTACACCTGATCTACACCTGATCTAAACCTGATCTTCACCTGATCTTCACCTGATCTTCACCTGACTTACATCTGATCTTCACCTGATCTACACCTGATCTACACCTGATCTTTACCTGATCTACACCTGATCTTCACCTGATCTTCACCTGACTTACACCTGATCTACCTGACTTCACCTGATCTACACCTGATCTACACCTGATCTTCACCTGATCTACACCTGATCTACACCTGATCTTTACCTGATCTACACCTGATCTACACCTGATCTAAACATGATCCACACCTGATCTACACCTGATCTTCACCTGACTTACATCTGATCTACACCTGACCAACACATGATCTACACCTGATTTACAGTTGAGTAGGTCCGTTGAAAGGACCGTCTACAGAACAGCACAAACACAAAACCCTCACAGACAATTTTCCAAACAAACAGGACACAGTGTCTCATTAGAAATAACAGACATGTAATTAGAATGTCGGAACGTGAACCAGAAGGAAAGGACAGATGAGTATATGACTGATTGTTTTGAACTATAGTTTGAGTTTTCTTTAAAGGTAAAGTAGTTCTCAAAATCCCTGATATGTGATGGTCATTTGTTACATGTGTGCCTCTTGTATGCCTCTCTTTTTTTCTTTTTTTCCTTTTTACTAAATTCAGTTCTACGTTTGGGTTCAGTCACCTCTAGTTTGGGCTATGGTATTTATCCTGTTGTTTGATTTTTCTGGATACAATCATTTAATGGTTGGAGGGGGGGAGAGGGGCAAGCCCATTTAAAACTTTAAAACAAGACAAACATCAAGATCACTG